AGGTTGAAAGCAAAAGCAATGAAATAAAAAAAGTTTGTTTTGTAATGAACACAGCCAACCTGTCACTGCATGGGGAGCAGCTAAGCGTGCAGAAGGGGTGCTCTTTCCATCCTAACATTTCTAAGGCTTCACCAAGATTGTGCTCTTGTCTCTTAGCAGCCAGCAGTCCCAGCAGCAGCCCTGTGGCATCAGACTCCATTGCAGGGCAGCGAGCAGAGGAGGACTCCACACCTGAGGATGCAAAAGCCAGGTGAGGGCATGTTCTGTGGGTGTACCTGCAGCTGTGCTGCAACCAGCCCTAGGACACAAGGGACAGGCTTTCATCCTTTGCATGGCCAAGGGGGTCTGTAAAACAGGCTGGGTCAGACACAGTTTACTGCGATCCTGGTTTAACTGGAAGATTGAGGTGTCCCTGATGGTAATGACTGATTGAGAGGCAAGTGCCACAGTTTGGAGGTAAACTAAAACCCTGTAGGAAGCTGGTTCTCTTACAGCTGGGGCACCTGCTCTGTCCACAGCTGTGTTCACTTGCTCCATTTTGACTCAGTTGTAAGAGAAAGCATCTGGTGGTGATCCAGTCTGGAAGCTGCAAGAGCTGCATTAGGGATCTCAGCCATGGTTGACAGAGAGGAGCACACTACTTATCTCTCCCATCACTTTGCAGTCATGACTCATAACTGTTCCCCTGGTCCTGGACTTGTTTGGATGGGCTGTTGGCTTTAGGATGTAATTGGGTAGAAAAGGAAACTGAAGTCATCACACATTCATTCTGTTGGTGTCTATAAAGAACTTTGATCCCAGCTTCCAAGGGGTCCAGGCCTGCTGTAGTCCTGAGCTCCATCCGAGTATAACAAAACTAACGATGGGCTGAAGATCCCTCCCGTGTAACTGTTCCTCAAAGTGCAATATTTATGTTTGCTCTTTGCTTTGTTTATCTGTCATGCATGCTCACAGTGCTCAGACTCCTGTGACCCACCAGATGACAGCCATGAGCATATCCAGAGAAGAAGGCAGCAGTGAGACAGAAGGGCTCGCCAAGACAGAAGAGGCCACCCCAGCATCTTCCTCATCAGGTAGACTGGTTGGTTTGGCTTTTGCACGAGATGAGGTGACACCCATCTAGCAAGTTGTTTTGAGCAGCAGGCATGATAGTGAAAGAGACTTGAAAGAGCCTGCCCCTCTTTTCTGTTAGTGGAATGACAGGAGGTTCCAGGCTGGATCCACAAAGCCAGGTTTCAGCATGCTGCAGGTGTGTATCTTCCAGCAGCTGCAGCTCTCCCTCCTGTTGTCTCCAGCCTGCTGAGGTGCTGTAGGAAATCAGTGACCTTCAGCAGTCTGGCTTTCAGAGCTCAGTTTTCCTTTCAGTAGATTAGAGACAGTGATGAGTATCTGTGCAAAGCATTCTGAGACCTACATATGAGGAACACTTACATAAGAGTCAACAAAAACAATTACTTGCATTACTTGGAAGGGGTTAATTTTTTTTTTTTTTTTTATTCCAGGCTCAGATGTTTACACCAACTAAGCTGGCTATCCCTGTGCATTCTTAACCTGTGGCAAGCACCAGATAATTCTACTTAGCATTAACTTTCTTCAGCAGGAGAGAGCTGTACCTTATGGATGCCTTAGCTAAACTTTAGTGTCTTGTTGGTGTTTCTGAGCTGTGGACGTGGGGAATGGACATAGGGAGAAAAACATGAAGCTGTGTGAGGTGTAGGTCTCAGTGGAAGAAGACAAGTCTCGGTTTGGGGTCTGATGTCTGCAGGCTGTTAACTTGGGTTAGGGCAGCGTGCATGCAGAGGTGTTGTCTGGCACAGACCCACGGTCAAGCAGCTGGAGGAGTAAAATGATGTGTCTCTTAGTTTATCAAAGTAACTGAACTCTGGTCTTTGGTTCAGGTGCACTCCTTGAAACATCACAGAGTGCAGCTGAGGACAAAACTTCTCCGGAGAAACCGAAACAGAAGAAGAATCGCTGCTTCACGTGCCGGAAGAAAATTGGGCTGACTGGTGAGACCCTGACCAGGGGGAGGCCTGTGTGCAGCCCCAGCTGTCTGCAAACAGATCTCCTCATGCTGCACTACTGCCTGAGCTCAGAGGGCTGGCGTGGCTCAGTGCATGGGGGTACCCCTCCAAAAAGTGCTTCGGGTCTGCAAGCCGTGCAGATGGGAAGGGGATTGACTGCAGCTCTCCATGCCAGCCCTTGAATTCAGGGTTGCAGAAGTGCATGGAGCAGTGCCTCTCGGGTTATTTCTGCTCCTTGGCAGAAGCTGTTTGCAGAAACGCAGGCAGTGTTCGCTGTAGATCCAATTGTACTCCTATTCAAGGCAGCAGTAAAGCCTTGGTACTGCTGACATGAAGTGAATCAGACCCAAACTGAAATCCCACTCCAGGATTCATCCTGTTTGTTAGGGTTGCTTGTCTTGTGCCATTAGCTTTCTGAAAGCAGGGAGCTCTCAGGTAGTGCTCTTTGTTGAGTCTGTAAAGCTTGAGGGGAGCTGTGATGGGAGCAGGGATCAGTGGGAGAACTAAACTGTGGAAAGGAAATTAGTGAGGCAACTACCTTGGCCAGGGCTTGTTAATATAAAAACATCGTTCCTCTAAATTAACTCTTGGCATTTAGTTATCCATGGTGCTCTGCAGGTCACGCAGTCCTAGCAGCACACTCTGCTTTTCTGCCTCCATAGATGCACACTGCTTTGGCAGAGCCAGCCCCAGAAGGTTTGCCCAGCACCTGGCATTCTGCTACCTGAGCTGGCTTGGAGATTCTGGGGCACTACCATAGAATAAGTGCAGGTTTATAAGGCTGGGATTGTGGGCAAGGAAGGGAGGCTCTGCACCCTTCCTTCTGCACACCCGAAGGGAGGATTATTTTCCAGTAGGAATCTGCTTGCAGAGAATTCATGTAAATTTAGAGCATTTAGGATAAAATGGGTTTTCTCAAATAGATGTGATACAGCATTGTGTTTGTGGTCTTCACAGCCCGTGGTTGCTACGGAGAGGAGTGTGGTTCATTGCCTCTGCAGTGGGGAGCTGAGCTGCTGTCCTGCAGCACAGCCCTCCCCCTCTCCGTGCCTCAGTTTCCCAACGTAGGCAGAAACTTTTCTGAACAGTGCTGTCTATGAGCACAGTGACTCAATTATGAACTTTTAAGACCTAAATAACTTGAAAGCAGTGTTGATGAGGTGAAGGAAGGTTTTGTTTGCTGGCTCGCTGCCCTTCAGCCCAGGTGCTGCTGCTGTGCTGCCCCAGCTCAGGCTGCAGCCCGGGTTAGGAATCTGGGTGCAGAGCTCACTGCTCTGAGCTCTTCCTGCATTAGTGGAGTTTGGTGGTGTAGCAGGAGAGGGCTCTGCTGCCATCCTATTGCTGGATGGGGACTACCATGGCTTTGTCTCTGCTCCCCTTCCCTGTAGGCTTCGACTGTCGCTGTGGGAATCTGTTCTGTGCCATTCACCGATACTCAGACATGCACGCCTGCCCCTATGACTACAAGGCAGAAGCTGCTGAGAAGATCCGGAAGGAGAACCCCGTCGTTATAGCTGAGAAGATCCAGAAGCTGTGAACGGGGCTGAGCAGCTCGAACTCCAGCCTGGTAGCCTGGTGCTCCTCCCCGTCCTCCCAGCCTTCCCCCCTTCCTCCCAGCCCCGTCAGTGGATATGGGGATCCAGCAGCACACGCAAACCAGCACCCGGACCGGGATATTCCTTGCACCTCCTTGACAGAAGCATGGTGTTCCTCCTCTCCCTTCAATCCTTCAGGGCTCAGCAGATCCATTTCTGTCCAGCTTTCACGAGGACACGGGCCCGACTCTGCCTCACCCACTGCAGCACTGAGACCACAGCATTTCTCCTCCCCAGCCAGCCCACCCCTTCGTCCCACGGCTCCAGGTCCTGCAGACTGCCTGGGACTCGTGGCTGGAGCTCCTCAGCTGCCTCCAGACTCCCCTCCCTCCACCCCATCCCCTCCTCCTGATGGCTGCAGAGTGGGGAGCTGAGGAGTCCCAGCAGCGATCCCATTCCCCAACAGGTGTTTGGTCTCAGATGCAGCAAAGAGGATTCTGTAGTTTTAACGCTCCCAACCCCACACCCCTTTTCCCTTTGAGAAGCTGTTGTTGAAGCAACTGCATCGTTAAGCTGCAGAGTATGGCACAGTAAAGTTATTTTGTGGCTTGCCGTGACACAGACACACTCCGGCCACAGGTCAGGACCTGGAAGCAAATACTGCTCTGGGGTGGGGGGAAAATCACAGGGAGGGTCCTGGGGGGGGGGCAGGAGTGCACACAGAGGCTTTGAGCTCTTTCACTGAGCAAAATGGGAGGGAACAGGGACACGCAGGAGGCTCTGGGGTACATGGGAGCAAACAGTGGGGCTCTGGGGAAGGGACAGGCAATGGGGCTCCGCTCCCATGGAAGATGGGGTCAGCGTTGCTGTGTTCTGGCTGTCAGCAGCACTGAAGTCCCAGCTCATCCCAGGGGACAACAGCAGTATTGCAGTGCGGGTCACCTCGGCTCCCTGAGGTTATGCCTCAGTTTCCCCACCCTCAGCAGCGACGGCTGCAACGCAAAGAAACCCCACGGTGAAAATCGTGCGAAGCTTGGGGCTGCTGCAGCGCGAGGATGGAACCCGCGGCGTGAGTTTCCTTGCCCCAGCAGCACGCTGCAGCAAAAAGCCGCAGGAAAGCAACCGTGCAACGCTGGGAAAGTGCCAGCCCTGCGGGGAGGAACGCTGTGCGTGCAGCGCAGCACAGAACGGCCCGCAGCGCGGTTGCACTGCAGCTGCAGCAGCGCCACGAAAGCGCGCGCGCGGCGTTGTCCCGGCAACGGGGTGGGCGGGGCTTGCGGGGCGTCACTTCCGGGCGCGGCGGCGGTGGGCGGGGTTTGCGGGGGCCGCCATGCAACGCCAGCGCCGCCCCCGCCTCGGCGGCCCGCAGCGGCCGGGAGTCCCGTAGGAGCTCCGAGCGGGGCCA